AAACAGTGAGGTCCCGTCTGTGCTGTCCGCACGGGGCTCTGGCTGGCTTGTCCGTTCAGCCCAATGACCATTTGGTTCCAGAGTTCTCACCAAAATGGCTGGTTGACCACATTAGCTACTTTGTGCCATTCCTCGGGCCTGGGATACAGGCAAGAGTGGCTGGTGAGAGGCGGGGCAATGAGACATAGATACAAGGAGAAGAGGGGACCGCTGGGACTTGATTGGAGGAAGAGAAATAAGAAAGGAAGGTCACCGTCTTGCGTAGCACTGAAAAGTTTTGAGGCAATCATGCCACGTCTGGCCTTCAGTTGTTTCGAAGTGGATTTTAACCATTGGTGCTTGGAATTCCCCTGACGTCACTTTCACTTTATCCTTAAGGAATTAGCCCCACCCAAGGCAGGCAGGGCTCAGTGGTTTGTGTGCGATTTCTAAGAACTGTTGGGAAGAGGCTGATCTCTGTGTGTGTGTGGAGGATCCCTCACGGGGGTCCCTCCTGATACCACATGTGCGTAGAGGCGAACATATTCCGATGCCTCCTCTCTGTTCTCTGTCAGGGCGTTTGTCTTCTCCCGCTTTGGGCTTTGGCGATTTCCTAAAGGCAGCTCAGTCCACAAAGGGCCAGACAAGCCCGGGAGAGTCCCTCCAGAATGGCTCTGTCCAATATGGGAGCCACGAATCACACTGGCTATTTATTTATTTATTTATTTATTTTTGTTTTATTTATTTAAAAATAATTTTATTGATTTCAGAGAGAGGAAGGGAGAGGGAGAGAGAGAGAGAGCTAGAAACATCAACGATGAGAGAGAATCCTTGATGGGCTGCCTCCTGCACACCCCCTACTGGGGATGGAGCATGTAACCTCGCCTGTGTCCCCACCTGGAATCGAACCGTGACCTCCTGGTTCATAGGTCGACGCTCAACCACTGAGCCAGGCCGGCCTGGATGCCTATTTAAATTAAAATTACAATGAGATAAAATTAAACATGTATTCCTAAATCCCAGGAGCCATATTTCAAGCGCTTCACAGGTGTGTGTGTGTGTGTAGAGAGGCTGATTTCTGTGGTGGGTCCCTCATGGATGGTCTATCCTGACCACAACGGACAGTGCAGATCTAGAACACGTCCAGCGTGGTAGAAAGTTCTAGTGACAGAGGTGCTCTCCAGAGCTAAGGCTGGCATGAAACCCCAGTGGGCCTGAGGGTTTTCGGAATGAGATGGCTAAACAGAACCCTGAAGTTTACTTTGATCATTTTGAACACAGTATGCCCCCACCCCCATCGAATACTTCCGTGTCCTCACTGCAGTAAACCTGCCAAGTGCTCATCCAGTCCCCCTTTTCTCCTCCTGACCCCTCCCCCCATGATGACGGAATTGTTGGGGAGAAGATGGTAGCTTCCAATCTCTTGGGGGAAGCCAATGAGGGGGAAGCATGGGGGAGAACCCTCTCTTAGGAAACGTGCATTTTGGGCTGGGCCTGGGACCACCTCACACCTGCATCGGCAGTGAGGATTCTCTTCCTGAGAGGGCCCAGGTGTGGGTCTGGGCTGGGAGTGGTTTGGTGAGAGGAATTAGCCCCACCCAAGGCAGGCAGGATTCAGTGGTTGGTGTGGGGTTTCCTGTGAGTGGTGCTTTTCTTTACTCATGTCTCAGTACTGAGTGATTGCAACCCACAGAGAAACTTTGCGTCATTCTTCTTTTGTGCAGAGCTCACTGCTTCCTTGATTAGGCTGAAATTCAACTTTTCTTCTCCCAACCGTGATTTGCATGTACGTAAGGGGTCATGAGGTGGCATTCCTGTTTCTAAACCTGCCCACGTATCGGATTCACCTGGGCGTGTTTCCTAAAGACGGAGATCCCTGGCCTAAAGACGGAGATCCCTGGGTTGCATCCTGGACCAACATAGGAAAAGTAGGAACCTGCCCTTTCAAAAGCATCTGAGATACTTTCGATGATCAGGCAGGTTTGACCATCACTTGTTTGGGTAGATTCTTCTCTATCTGGTCAGACTTACTGAAAACATCACCACCTGTTAGGGAGGCTGGGAAGGGAGATTCTTAAAGGGGGAAGCAGTGACCTCCAAGTCTCTCGCAACTCTAGAGTTTTCTAGAATATTCTAAAAAGTAGAACGGCATGGGCTTTGAAGTCAGCATATCCGACCTTCCACATTTACCAGTGCTGTGACTTGGACAAGTTGCTGAATTTCCCTGAGCTTCCGTTTCTACTTCTATAAAAGAGGAGAATCATGCCCTGGCTGGTGTGGCTCATTGGTTGAGCATTGTCCTGTGCACTGAAAGGTTGCCGGTTCAATTCCCAGTCCGGGCAAATACCTGGGCTGCGGATTTGATCCCCAGTGGGTGTGCATGGGGGAGGCAGTCCTCTTACATCGATGTTTCTCTCTCTCTCCTTCTCTCTTAAAACAAACAATTATTTAAAAAGAGGGTTCTTAAATGAGACATTGCATGCACATCATTCAGCACTGTGCTTGGCAGGTGCTCAATAAAAGGGAACACTAGGGTATGGAGAAAGGCCCTCCAATGGGACACTTGACCCCCTTCACCTGATTTGCCCCCACCTTTGTGCTTTGGGGAGAGTTAGCAACTAGGGGAGCATAGGAAAGAGAACCCTTGGGGAACCTTAGAAAGGGAGCAGCTGGGTTGCTACATCCAGGCCTGGAAGGCTTGGGTCGTCAGCCATGAAAATCAGGCAGGAGGCAATCACAGCTCCTGAGGTCTGCAAAGAGATTGGGCAGAGGAGAGGCCAGGTGGGGAGCCTTGGGGACTGTGAAAGGATCGGTTGTAACCGGTAACAGGCGAAGAGCCAGGAGCGCTGAGTGAAGACCTTGTTCCTCAAACATGGATGAGGCACAGAGAGAGAAAAATGGCTTGCGCCTTGGCCCGGGATCGGCGTAAAAGACAATTGGAGAGGAGGAGCAAGAACGCCAGGGCTGGGCCCCTGGAGGAGTCAGCTTACACCGGGAGCCAGCCAGCCAGCCAGCCAGGCCCACAGTGGCCTGACTCACAGCCAACCCAGTAACATGAAACCGCAAAACCATGAAGCGATACCTGTCATCGCTGTGGGCTGGTTTGCGGTTCCGGGATTCCCTTGTTGGTGGCACCTTTAACCAGCAGCTGCCCGGGAACGGTGCTGTATCGATTGTCTGGAGATGTGAGAGATGTGAAAGCAGAGTGCGAGCCTGGAAGGAGAAATCCCCTCATTTCCCCCTTATTACAGGGCCCCAATGAAGGACTCTTTAGCGCTTGTCTTTGTTTGAAGGACTGTCACATCACCTATCTGATTTTTTTTTAAGTGATCACTTTCTTTTTTTTAATATTTTATTGATTTTTTACAGAGAGGAAGAGAGAGGGATAGAGAATTTGAAACATCGATGAGAGAGAAACATCGATCAGCTGCCTCCTGCACACCCCCTATTGGGGATGTGCCCGCAGCCAAGGTACATGCCCTTGACCGGAAGCGAACCTGGGACTCTTCAGTCCACAGATGGATGCTCTATTCACTGAGCCAAACCAGTCAGGGTTGCCTATCTGATTGAATCCAGCAAGAATGATGATTAACCCCACGAGTTGCCCAAGTTCACACAAGCTAATGCCAGAGCTAGGGCTCTCTCTGTTCTTCTGGTTATTCAGGTCCCTTTCTCCTTAGCCTTTGAGATGGAAATCTATGAGACCAATAGGTATGGTCCAAAGGTTTGTCTGAAAACCAAGACATTCTTTCATTGAGTGCTGACCCGAGACCCCGCTGGAAGCTTTCTCTGAGGGAAGAGGACAGCTTCACACACTCTTAAACTCTCTTGAGTAACATGCATCTCACTGTAGCGTTAAGTCTCTAAAGTCTAACGATCCCATCCAAGTTCAGCCACATAGGATGCTATCAGAGTGGCCACTGGCCATCCTGGAAGAGCCTAAGCAGGCCTGAGACCTAGTGGGTGCTCCCCAAGGAGAGAGGAAGAATGGGAATAAGGCAATAGTCATAGAAGAGGCAGAGATCTCACCAGGGAGCCAGGCTCAGGAAGGCATAAGACAAACAAGTACTTGGCTTTCATGAGCCTGGGTGGAGGTGAGTGCCAAGCCCAGGTGGCCCTCCCTTCCAGCTCTGCTTGCTTTCCATTTGCAGGTAGTTATGTGTGCTTTCCTTTCCCCCTGGCTGAGCCTGGTTTTTTTTTGTGTTTTTTTCTCTCTCTCTCTTAAAAAATATTTTCATTTATTTCAGAGAGGCAGGGAGAAGGAGGGAGAGAGACAGAAACATCAGTGATGAGAGAGAACCATTGATCGGCTGCTTCCTGCACGCCTCCCACTGGGGATCGAGCCTGCAACCCCGTTAGGAACAGAATGGTCAGACGCCTGAGGTGAAAAGGAGCTGGGGATACTGGAGGGACTGAGGGGGACCAGTGTGGAGAGACCATGCATATCGATTAGTTGATGCCTCAAGTGGTTGATGATTGCAAAGGTGAGCTCATCTGAATGGGTGCGATGAGCCTCCTTGGCCTATAAATGCCCACGGACAGCCTTGTCTGCCTTTTGTGAAAGTAACCTGTGGGAAAAGACACGTTGGCTGTGGTTTCCTGATTTCTTGCCTCTTTGGTTCTTTGGAGCAAGGAGAGGTGTCGGTGAAGATAATGAGTGAAAGGCACCCATTGTCCATGGGGAAGGTGACGGGGGGCAGATGGGAGCTGATGTAGAGTAAACAGAGATTGTAATGTGTCTGGAACAGGGCCTGTGTCTAAATATTTACCTGAATCCCAGAAATAAAATAGCCCTTCTCCTCTGTCCCAATCCTGGAAGTGTGATTCATTGAGAGATGGCAGACATGCAGGCATGTGCTGTTCTGTTTTTTTTTAATCTTTACCAGAGAGAGAGGGGAAGAGAGAGAGAGAGAGAGAGAGAGAGAGAGAGAGAGAGAGAGAGAGAGAGAGAGAAACATTGATGTGAGAGTGAACATCAATTGGTTGCCTCCCGCACGTGCCCTGACTAGGGAACAAAACCACAACCTGGGTGTGTGCCCTGACTGGGAATCAAACTTGTGACCTTCTGGTGTACAGGCCATGCTCCAACCAACTGGGTCATGCCTTTCTAGCTCTGTTTTTATGTTTCCTATCTTTTTGTTGAACTTCCCACTAAGTTCATATACTCTTCTCCTAAGTTTATGGAGCATCTTTATAACCAGTGTTTTGCACTCCTGAGCATCTAGCACATTGCTTGTCTCCATTGCATTGAGTTCTTTCCTGGAGTTTTATTCTGTTCTTTCATTTGGGACACGCGTCTTGGTCTCCTCATTTTGGCTGCCTCCCTCTGTTTGCTTCTATGTCTTAGGTAGAGCTGCTATGTCTCCTGGCCTTGTTCGAGTGGCCTTATGTAGTAGGTGTCCTATAGGGTCCAGTGGCACAGTCTCCCTGTTCCCTGAACTGGGCAATCCAGGTGTGCCCCTTCTCCCGATCCCTCTCTCATGCGAGCTGGGTACACCCTCCCGTTATAGTTCAGCCTTGATTGCTGTTGATACATCCATGGGATTTACCCACAAGGCTGAGTGGCTACAAGGACTGGCTGTGCCCACCATGGAAGATCACCATGGAGCAGGACTTACGCCAGCAGGGCTTTGGTGCCTGCTGAGTCTGCCTCTTGAGTGTGTCACTTAGAGGTGGTTGGGGGTTCTTCATTGTGGACTGAAGCTGTCCACACGGTGTGCTGGCCCTGGGGGCCTCCTGGGACTTTCAGGTCAAGGTCAGCCAACGTGCGTTAGGCAATTCTTGACTCCTGGGCTAGTGGTGGAGTGCACACTGGCTGTTACTTTCCTGAGGGTATAGGAGTAAAAATAAAATTAATGTGTAAACTTGAATTACTTTCTTCCTCTGGGCTATGGCTTTGCTTTCACTCGACAATGAACGGTTGACCTTAATAATTTCCAAGATAATTCTAACATAAGATGCCTGGGCTAAGATGTCTCTTTTCTATTTCCTGACACACAAAATAAAATTTTAGTTAGCATTCAATGATGTCTTCATGCCTTTTCCTATAACCCTCTCCCTCTGCCAAGAAACAGGTAACTTCCCGGCATGGATTATTCCCAGGTCTCAGGCTGTGTGAGTGACTCGAAGACAACTCTGGAATTGTCCTTTTTTGTTAAAGGTTTTAAAAAATTGTGTTCTGGTAGGAAATGGAGGCAGTAGAATGTGATTGTGAATTCCCTAAAGTCAAAGGAGAACACAGTCTTCTCGCCTTTTGTGATGCCACATCGTGTTATCTGCCCATTACACCACGCTATCAAACAAACCTGTTGGGTTTGGTTAGACTCTGCTCATCTTCCACTGTGACGGCAAAACCATCCGAATGCTTGTAATGCCTGAGCCCCACAGGGGGTGAGAAAGGCTGGCGGAGAAGTTAGAAGCAAGGTCAAGCTGAATTTTAGACCCAGTCTGCAATCCTGTGTTCAGAAGGAATGTGGGAGGAGATTACAGAGAAGAACACGCCACTGGGCGAGTCCCTGGTTGGGGCACGAATGTGGGTGAGGAGTGGGCTCAGAGATGTTTTGGGAAATCAGGGTGATGAAAGCATTGTCAATGAGCTCCCGCCAGAGGGAGGGCTAGTGTGCGGACCTGGCGTGGGAGAGCAGAAGATAAAGCAATGGGTGTCTGTGTGTATTAGCTTGCAGGAGCTGCCATAACAAAACATCGCAGACTGGGTGGCCTACACAACAGAAATGTATCTCTCCCCTCCCTCACCCCACAATTTGGAGATTATAAATGCACAATCAAGGTGTTGTTAGGGTGGGTTTCTGGTGAGATGTCTCTTTCTGGCTTGTCGATGGCTACCTTCTCTCTTGGGACTCACCTGGCCCCTTTTGTGGGCGCATCAAAATTAGAGATCCACCCTTAAGACCTAATTTTACCTTAATTGCCCTCCTACAGACCCTATCTCCAAATATAGTCACATTGGGGATTAGAGGGCTTCAACATATCCATCTTGGGGCCACATAATTCAGACCAAGATAGTGTTCATTGCAGTTCTTGTAAATTGCCTTCGACAGTGGAGTGATTGTCCTCTTGTAGGGGAGGAAGGAACTGATTGAGGGCCAGCTGAGTGTCAGTCATGACTGATTCATGATTTTTTTTTTTTTGGCTCCTGTACAACCCTGTCATGAGCGTAGACTGAAGCTCACAGGTGTTAGGATCACCCAGATAGTAAGAGCTCAAGAAGGCATCCAAACTCTGATTTCTAAGTGCATGCCGCCATGCCAGAGAGGGGACTTCCATGGAGACCTTGCTGAATTCCTAGGGACTCTGTCATTAAACTTGGAGTTGCCCAGAAGCCTGTGTGGCAGGTCCATTTTGGGGTCTGGGAGGGTCTCTGAATAGGGAAGAGACGTGATCCGAGTTGTGCTTCGGGGAGGTGACTGGCCATGTGTGGGAGTGTGGGTGTGGGTGACTGGTGACCATCTAGAACTTGTTGCTAGGACACTGTTGAGAGCTAACGACAGCCAGCAAGGGCCATATAAAAAGTGCTAGATTTTTGCCGAAACCGGTTTGACTCATTGGATAGAGCGTCGGCTTGGGGACTGAAAGGTCCCGGGTTCGATTCCGGTCAAGGGCATGTACCTTGGTTTCGGGCACATTCCCAGTGGGGGGTGTGCAAGAGGCAGCTGATCGATGATTCTCCCTCATCGATGTTTCTAACTCTCTATCCCTCTCTCTTCCTCTTGGTAAAAAAATCAATAAAATATATTTAAAAAAAATAAAAAAGTGCTAGATTCCCATGACATTGTGAGGTCAGAGTCAGGCTTTGGTAAATGATTGAGTGTAGGCCATGGGCAAAGGGAGGGAGTCCAGGAATAAGGAGGCCAAAGAGAGCAACTGGGAGGACCACAGTGCCCCTGATGGAAATGAAATGCATTTGGGGGTACCCAATTCATCGGGTACCCCAAAGTTCTCCCAGCCCCCATTCCATCAGGTGGTGAGGAGGTACCTCCAGAAAACCTGTAACTGCTTAGAGTCCAATGCACCTCTTAGGGGGATGTTGGAGAGGACTTCTTGAACTTGAGGTTAATATAATGCAGTTAATCATTACTGGTAATTATGCCCTTAATAGTACATTAGGCTTAATAATTTATCAAGTGATAAATGAAGAGATAATGGGTCGGGACAGGCAGGCTGCTTGTGTAAGGGAAATTGGATTGAAGTGGATTATCCTCACCAAGCTTTGAGGAGAAAAGGGTGGATCTCTAAACAGCCTGTTTTCCTCCCAGTCTCTCCTCCCTCCTCTTTTCTTCCTCTTCCTTCTTTTTTCTCCTTTCTTTCCTCCCCTTTATCCCCCTCCTTCTCTCCCTCTTTTTTCTTTTCCCTGAACATACAAAACATTTAAAAAATATATTTTTTTTATTGATTTTTTTTTTTTACAGAAAGGAAGGGAGAAGGAGAGAGAGTTAGAAACATCAATGAGAGAGAGACATCCATCAGCTGCCTCCTGCACACCCACTATTGGGGATGTGCCCGCAGCCAAGGTACATGCCCTTGACGGGAATCAAACCTGGGTCCCTTGAGTCCGCAGGCTGACGCTCTTTTTCACACCCTGAGAATGCCAGTTACAGGCAATTTATTTCTCGTGCAAATTTTACTTGGCCCTATTCCTTTAGCAAAGGCAAGCATGCCTAACGTTGCACAACACACTTTCAAGTACAGATGACTAAAGGTTAAAACTCTTCAGGGGCACTAGCCAAAGGACACAGTTCCCCTTTCTTCATGAATGTGTCCGCCCACATACTCAAGTCCCCAATTTGGAGTGACCCTTAATGGCTCTTTCCATCACTTCCCACAGTGACCCATCAACAAGGCCCCTCACCTTTGTTTCTGAAGCAGACCCTGATCTCTGCCATTGTCTTTGTCTCTCCTGCAGCCACTCTCACGGTTTCTCTTGTCTCCCTTGTCCCCAACACTGCTACACTTTCCACATCCTTGAGAGCAATCTTTCGAAAGCAAATTAGCCCTCCTTGGTTTGGGTCAGTGGAGAGAGGGTTGGCCTGCAGACTGGAGGGTACCGGGTTTGATTCCAGTCAAGAGCACGTGCCCAGATTGTGGGCTCCAGCCCTAGGAGGGGGCGTGCAGGAGGCAGCTGATCAATGATTCTCATCATTGATGTTTCTACTTATCTCTTCCTATCCCTTCCTCTTTGAAATCAATAAAAATATATTTTAAAAAATAAATAAAAAGCAAATTAGATCCTGACCCTACCCAGTGGCTTCCCATCACACTTGGAATAAAATCTACACTTCCTATCCTGGCTTGTTAAGACCTATGGAATGTATCCCCACTTGGCTTTCCAGCCTCATCCCACACCACCCTGCTCCTTGGCCACCACACTGCGGCCACTCTGACCTTGGCCCTGCTTCTCCACCATGATGACCTTCCTGCTCCGAGGTCTTTGTTTGGCTGAAATGATCTCAGAGTGGCTGACTTCCGGGGAGGCCCGGTGGGTTGTGGGCCTTCTGGGTCTTCACTGTTGTGCATTGGGCTCACAAAGGACTCCCAGAATATCTGATTTGGGGAGACAGCCTGCCGGCCCTTCCTCTAATGCTTCCCTTTTCCTCTTCACTATTATTACCCAGGTCCCCAAGTCACGCTCCTGGCCCGTCTCTGCTCTTCCCTGTCCTCCTCTTGGCTGACCCGTCTCTTCTCTCCTTGCCTCGCCCCTGAGTGTCCCAATGAGGCACGGAGTCCTCACTCTCCTCGATCTTTGTGTTTCCAGATTGGAGCGTCTCTCTTCGCCAGTAACATTGGAAGTGGCCACTTTGTGGGGCTGGCCGGGACGGGAGCAGCGGCAGGCATCGCCACCGGGGGCTTTGAGTGGAATGTGAGTAGCATCAGAGACCCATGTCCTGGCGCTGGCAGCCGGGTGGACCTGTGCGCAGAGGCAGATGCTGTAGGTGTCAGGGACCCTCTCCCCGCCGCCCTGCAGTGCAGTTGAAGGAGCAGCCCAGCGTCAGGGCCCAGAGTCCGCTACTCTTCCACCAGAACAGCGCGAGAAAGCCACGGAGAAGAAGGCAACAGTGGTCCTTTCTCCTCTTAAAAAGCCAAGCACTCCTCTACCCTTCCAGCCATATTGGAGGCTTGGAAATGCTTATCACCAGATCCCCATTATTATTATTATTAATTTATTTTTAATTTCTGGAAAAGGAAAAAGGAGTTGCGATGTCACTGGGCAGTCCCTAGGGGTCCCCTTCACGGTTGCTCAGCGACCATTCCCCTGGGCCAGCCAGGCAGCAAAGACCTCCCCATCTCCGATGGCCACACAGGGAGTTGTCCTCAGAGCCCAAAGAGAAGCGCTGGGGGATTGTTCTGCAGTGGCTGGGGGCCCCCAGGCGGTGTGATCTGACTCCATTTCTTTTTTGGTTCTAGGCCCTGATTTTGGTGGTTGTGCTGGGCTGGGTGTTTGTCCCCATTTACATCAAGGCTGGGGTAAGTATCCAATGTGTGTGTGAGTGTACACACACACTTCTGACACCTTGATCACACTTCTGACATCACTCTGGCTGGCAGTGACCTCCCTTACACGCCATGCAGGTGGTGACGATGCCAGAGTACCTGAGGAAGCGATTCGGAGGCAAACGGATCCAGATCTACCTCTCCATTCTGTCCCTGTTGCTCTACATTTTCACCAAGATCTCGGTGAGTCCACTGCCGCCCCATCATGTAGCCCGTCTCCCTGCCAACCTGGAGCTGCAGGCTCCAGTTTCCAGAGCTGGGACTCCTCAGGGGTTGGCTGGCCATGGGGGTGTATTTAAGAACTGGACAGAGCTCTGGGCAGACACACTGGAGCAAAATGTGTATTCCTTCTTCACCTCACCTTTCCTTCCTCAGAAGTGTGCAAGTCAATTTCTTTGGACGGCAAAGCAAAGCAAAGCAAAAGACTCAGGAGACAGCGGAAGTCCAGAGTCTTGGGTTTCTTTGAGTAGATTCCCAGAAGTGGAATCCATGGGTCACTAGGCAGCTCCATTTTTCATTTCTTGATGAAGTTCCATACTGCGTTCCACAGTGGCTGTACCAATCTGCATTCTCACCCACAGTGCACACGGGATTCATTTTTCTTCACAAGTTGTTTGTCTTTTTTTTTTTTTTTTTTTTTTTTTTTACTGTTGAGTTGAAAGAGTTTTTATATATTCTGGATAGCAGACCCCTATCAGATGTATGATTTGCAAATATTTCCTCCCGTTCTGTAGATTGCCTTTTCACTTTATTAAATAATATAGATTTTATTGATTTTTTTTTTTTACAGAGAGGAAGGGAGAGGGATAGAGAGTTTGAAACATCGATTAGAGAGACACTTCAACCAGCTGCCTCCTGCACATCCTCTATTGGGGATGTGCCCAAAATCAAGGTACATGCCCTTGACCGGAATAGAACCTGGGACCCTTCAGTATGCAGGCCAATGCTCTATCTACTGAGCCAAACCGGTTAGGGCTCACTTTCTTGACAGTGTCCTTTGGTGCACAGAAGTTTTAAACCTTGACTGAGTTCATTTTATCTACTACTACTTTTGTTACTTATGCTTATGTCATCACTGAATTCACTGATTGTGTGACACCCAAAAAAATCCATTGACAGAGCCGAGGTCCTAAGGTTGACTCCTGTGTTAGCTCCTTAGAGTTTGAGTCTTTGCTCTTCCATGTAGGTCTTTGA